CACATAAAATAATTTTCATTTGCTGAGTTGGAATATTGATGGGTCCTTGTAAAACTGGTACATTTGTGAAAGATTCTTTTGAAATATTTTCTCCCGTCATTTTATGTGAATTCTTTCATTTTTAATTTACTCAAAAGAATATTATCCAATTATAATTTGAAATAAATTAACTTTAGAAAGCTTAAGATTATTTTAGATCATAAATATCAATTTCTTTTATTATAAATATCATGTCAAATCAAATAATGTCACGATCGGAACCATACAAAATTATTCGGTGGCTGCATATCTGAAACTGAGAGAAAATCTCACCCAACAGATGTCTCAACTCCACGTGGCAGAACAGAGGCCTCTATATGTCATAAGGGAAATCCAAATACTAAACCATAACCAATCAACAATTGCTTAGTTGTACATCTTGTAATCCTCAAAATCCATTAATTTGCATATATATTGCCCCACATCTCCTTCTTCCTTTCATATCATCAGAAAAAAAGAAAAACTTCAGCAAATTAAAAAAAAAATGGCCACTTCTGCAATTCAACAATCAGCCTTTGTTGGTCAAGCAGTTGGTAAATCACAAAATGAGTTTGTTAGGAAAGTTGGTAGCTTCGGTGAAGGCCGTATTACCATGAGACGAACTGTTAAAAGCGCTCCTCAAAGCATCTGGTATTTCTTTCTATCCAAATTTATTGTTTGAAATATTTCTACTAGTATTATAAATACAATCATCCAGTAATTTTGAAATTTCAATCTGAGGAACTTTTTATTTTTATGAAATAGGTACGGAGAAGACCGTCCTAAGTACTTGGGCCCATTTTCAGAGCAAACACCATCATACTTGACTGGTGAATTCCCAGGTGACTACGGATGGGACACGGCTGGACTTTCTGCTGATCCAGAGACATTTGCTAGAAACCGTGAGCTTGAGGTGATCCATTGCCGTTGGGCTATGCTTGGTGCTTTGGGCTGTGTTTTCCCCGAAATCCTTTCGAAGAACGGTGTTAAATTCGGTGAGGCTGTTTGGTTCAAGGCTGGATCTCAGATTTTCTCAGAAGGTGGGCTTGACTACCTTGGAAACCCAAACCTTGTCCATGCCCAAAGCATTCTAGCCATTTGGGCCTGCCAAGTTGTTCTTATGGGCTTTGTTGAAGGTTACAGAGTTGGTGGAGGCCCACTTGGTGAGGGTCTTGACAAGATCTACCCAGGAGGTGCCTTTGACCCACTCGGTCTTGCTGATGATCCCGAGGCTTTTGCTGAATTGAAGGTCAAGGAAATTAAGAACGGACGTTTGGCTATGTTCTCCATGTTTGGATTCTTTGTTCAAGCTATTGTTACTGGAAAGGGCCCAATTGAGAACCTTTCTGACCATATTAATGACCCAGTGGCTAACAACGCTTGGGCTTACGCCACAAACTTTGTACCCGGAAAGTGAAGTAATTAGTAGTATGTAATCTGTAAAATTTGGGCTAATTAATGAAGTTTTATGCTTGTGAAAAATTGGTTTGTACCTTGATGCACTATTTAAACATGCTGATATTTTAACATGTTTCTCAGTGGTGTTCCTTTTTTTACCCCTAAGTATAATATTTGCTTAATGGGTCGTTTGGTACGAGAGACGGGATAGACAATGTTTTTTCATGGATTGGGATAGCTCATATGATTAGTTATATTTATCCATCATTATTGAATTGATGGTGGGATGAATAATTCCGGATCTAGCTTTACCTCTAACCAAATGAAAGATTAATAATCCAACATTTGTTCCAGAATTATTTTCTCTTATTCCTCGTACTAAATCACTTGTCCACACAATGACCTTTGAAAATTGGATTGAAACATAATTATCGTATATTTTTTTAACATAAACCAGTGCTAAGTATGTTTCTCTTTATTTTTATTTTTTTGGATTCTCATTCGGTGTCCGATATCCACATTGGAACCCTACGAAATCCTGATTGGTATCGAAAAATCCATATTGGAGGGTAAAACGCTCCTAACAAAGGCGATTAGAATATCACCTTGAATGAAAAACGAAAATATGAAATAAGAAGGATGAATATCATTAAAACATGTAAAGTTCAGCTGGCAGCAGAAGTCCTTTACTCTGAACTAAGGAAATAAATTACGATAATTCATGTTTTAGTATATAGATGCATACCATAAATTTGAAATTTATGAATAGTAAGGTCAAAGCGTTAGATTAACCGGTGGTTATTAGCATTTTCAGTAATTATATTCAAATATAAGGAAAATATACATATATAATGAATTTCAACCAATCATAATTTTCCAAACTGATAGTGACTATGTCAATTAATTCCTTTTGGACAAGTGTAGCTCCACCACATACTGCATACAGACGAAATTGAAAAACTTGTATGATATTTTTCTCATTTTTGGATTGCAAGTTGATGTGGGGAAAATGGAGAAAATGACCAAAATGATCCTTAACCAGGGCCAGACCCACGGAGAGTTATTCGGGTGTTCGAACACTCAAATATATATATGTAAAAATTAAAAGGTATTTGTATAAAATTAACATAAAACTCTTAATGAACAAATAATTTGACTGATCCACTGACTCTTGAGTGAGTATGTAAGACTATTTTAATATTAGCCTGAATTAGAATATCACTTTTAACATATCTTTTTATATTTTTAACTCCACCACTTAATCTCACTTATTCACTTTGACTAATATAGTTCATATTATCTAAGACAATTCATTATTCATCCAGATTAAATGAATGAATTTGCTAGTCTTCTAAGATTCTTAAAGAAAAAATATCTAATTATCTTATTTGCATGAGTGAAAGAATGATTGAGTCACGACAATACTAAAGGTAGGGTATCATGTCGACTTAACATAATTGGAAGTCTAGAATAAAATTTTATTTAGAGATATAAAATTGAAATGAAATAAATTTCTTTGACAAGATGCACTTATATCGAAAGTGGAATTTTTCAACACGAATTTAATTTAATCGGCTTATATATATCTATAAGATACAAGTTGAGAAACACAAAATTGATAAATAATTTTATATGACCAATTAAATGAGAAAAAAACATAAAGTCACCAGTAAAGTTGTCTCGTATTTGCATAAAGACACCTTAACTTTGGAAGTGTCCTATCACTCCACAGAACTATTTAATATCTTTGTAAATGGGCCATTTTGACCCATTTCCTCGTCTGGGTTGTTACCACGCACATGAGGCAGTGTTTTCACTGTCATTAACCAGCTATAAAGTGACACGTATTGTTTTATTTCTTTATTAATAATTATTTAATTAATTTACATCATCTTCCCCAAATTTAAAGAGAAAAGAGTCGTTGGTAGGTCTAAAATCGATTTCAACTTTTTTTTCCAAAGCAAGCTCAAAGTTGGTGCTCTCTCTTTGAAAAATTCATTCTTTTCCATTATCTTCTTCACCCAAATTCAAAAACCCAATTACCTTTTCTTCATCTTCTTCAACATAGAAGATCCATTTACTTCATCCATTTTTATCACTTTTTTTCTCGTCTCTTGCTTTTCTTTGTTTCTTTTTCTTCTTTTATCCTCTTTTTTTTTTTTAAAAAAAAAAACAAATGTGAACTCCATTATTCGATTGATTAGAGAGTACTATGAAACTCCATTTTTATTCTTATTTTTGGAAAAAATAAAAATAAAGCTAATAAAAATAGATAAAATGAAAATGAAACTAAAAATGAAAAATTAAAAGAATTTAATACGTGGCAAACAACAATTGATGCGTGATTGCACTTCTTTTCTTGCAATTGAGGTTGGGTGAAAAGTAGGATATTTATAACACTCTTAAATTGTTCAATGGGAAAATAGGACACCTACAAAGTTAATGTGTCTTTTTGAAAATTCGAGACAACTTCAGTGGTGACTTTATGTTTTTTCTCCCAATTAAATAGAAAACTTTAATGAATTTCTCTAGTGTTTTATTTACTAGTGTCGAGATATAAATAAAATGATAATGCTATAATTATTAATGTGTCGCCAAGACTTAAGCGTAATTTCTATAGAGTGGTGGTTAGATTAGATATTGTATAGAGCACAAAGTAATTAGCAAGACAAAAAGGCCTACATTTAGAAGATAAATGTAGCGAAGATAAGGATACTTAAATAGATGTGTGAGCATATTAGAAGAGATATATGATTAAGAATGGAGCTATATGGAGTATGGAAAGAGTGACCTCCGTGGCAATTAAGATGAGAGAAACATGACTGAGATGGTTTGGGCATGTTAAGAGGAGGTGTGCAAATGCACCAGTTAGGATGTGTGAGAGGTTGACTATAGTAAGAGTTAGAAGAGATAGAGGTATCCCGTGGAATTAGTCGAGGTGCGCAAAAGTTGGCTCTGACACCACAGTCATTAATTTTCTTAAGAGGTATCTCATAGAATTAGTCGAGGTGCACGAAAGTTGAATCTGACACCACTGTCATCAATATTTTTTTTAGAGGCATGTCAAAAAAGAATAGGGGTGGGATGATGTATGATTAAATAAGATATGACACAACTTCAATTCATTGAGGACACGATCTTAAATAGGAAGATACGAGGTTGAATATTAGGTTAGAAGTTAGTAGTTAGCTTAGGTGGGAGAGGTAGGAGGCTAGCCTCATATCTTTTTCTCCTTATTAGTAGTAATATTTAGTAATCGCATAATTCGTATTCTTTGCTTAGTTTTTACTATATGTTGCTTCATTTGTTTTGTATCTTGATATCTTGTTGTCATCTTTTCTTTTCTGCAATCATTTTATGAATAATTCCTCTTTTAAGCTGGGTGTCTATTAAAAACAACATTTCTATCCTATAAAGATAGAAATAACCCTTCTCAGATTTCATTTATGAAATTACACTAAATATATTTATGTTGTCCTAGATCTCTTTGCTCCAAATTTAAGTTTTTTTAAAAAAATAAATAAATAATTTGCAAAACAAATAACCCCACATATCTTATCCAATAGTTGGGATAAGAGAGTATTGCTTTCTTTTCTTGAACATATCATCTCTTTCTATTTATGCAAATTTGTAAACATTAATTAAGCAGAAAAAAAAGGGGGAAATGTTCGAACACATAACAGCAAGTGAAATAGCAGGATTTGGAGTGGGTGGTTTACTACTTGCTGCCACCATTTATGCTCCCAAAATTGATTCCTTCATCTCTACTTCTCAACGCAGGTACTATGCACTATAACTACTTATTTCTTGTTTTTGCCTTTTTGGGTTTTGCCTTGTATATTTATCCATGTCAATGAATTACGATTTGAGTAAATTAATACCAATGATTGAATCTTTACGCATTAATAGTACTCTAAATTACCTAATGTGTGGATTAAGCACACGTCATGGATTCAAATCCTGACAAAAGACTACTGATACTCCCTTCATTTCAAAATAAGTGATGTTTTTAGTTTGAGCATACACCTTAATTATAAAACTACTCATTCCTAAAATGTACTAAGTATTTACTAACTTTACTAGGGATAAGGTACAAGTATCCCTAGACTATGACATAAATCGCACAGATATACATAACTAAACTAAGGTCCTATTAACCATGAACCCATTTTTTTTTTGTAATTTTGTGCACGTTTTTGGCTTACCTGACATCCAAATATCTCTTACGGTGTGAAGTCATGGAGCATACCACGTAAGCCAAAAGGTGTACAAAATTACAAAAAAAAAAATGAGTTTCGGGTAATATGACCGTAGTTTAGTTAAGGTGAGTCTCTGAGATTTCGCTCATAGTCTAGGGGTACTTGTGCCTTATCCAACATTACTAACATATCTTGAAAAAGATTAGCTCTTTAGTAGTTTCATGGTCATGGAAAAGGGTAAAATGAAAGAACATTAGTAATATTACAACTTATTTTGAAATGGAGGGGAGAACTTTAGAGGGACAGATCAGTTATTCACCGAGTTTCGAACAGTGTGCCACTTCATCACTACTTTAAATGTGGTTTGAATATTGGTGCATACAACTTAAACTCAACTAATTATAGTTCATAGCTCTTATTGATCATCAAGAACCCAACTGCTTTTTTATTTCAGTGTTAATACATAATGGTTTTTCCTATGAGCAGTTCACTGGGAATGTGCAAAAAATGTGGAGATTTGAGACTGATAGCATGTTCAAGTTGCAAAGGATCTGGTACAATTAAAGGAGGAGCATTCAATTTCATTCTTTTGGAGGAAAAATCAAAAGTAGGATCCTCTTCTTCTTGTACGAAATGTCGAGCTAGAGGACACTTTCAGTGCCCTGAGTGTTCTAAACTTAGTCAGGCTTGATCTACTTTACACTATACAAGCTTATTATATTCAAAATAGTTGTCGATGCTGCTTTTGCTAAAGAATTGCTTAGAATCTGTCGAAATTTGATCATACACGAAAGTTATTCTGGAAATGTTATCTACTATTATATGAAATTTCATGATAATTCTGATTCCTCTGTGGATCTACTTTGCAATGGATCTCGATAGGTTTGTTGGTTCACAGACATATTATAATGTACGATTTGGTTGTTTATTTTAGAATTTGGATGTATAGTGAATTGAATTTGACATAGAGAAATCAAACACATGATTAATACTGCTGAGATTTGGGGAGCAATACGTATAGTCTCACCATTTCCATGACATATTTTTAAGGGGTCAATTTACAGAAATTAGGCAATTTTCTCAGTTTTATGTGTGTGTTATCCCATGAATATTTGGTTGATATGACTACCAGTCAATTTTTGGTAGAACCATTACGGAACTCAAAGTAAGGAGTTGGGGGAGTAGTACGTATAGTCTCAGCATGAGCCACAACATATTTTTTACATTTGGGGGTCAACTTACAGAAATTAGGCAATATTCTGAATTTTTGGTGATATGGTTTTCGATCAATTTTTTTTGGCAAACCTTTACGGAACCCTCCATAGGGAGTTGGGGGAGAGGTATGTGAAGTCGAACCATTTTTCGGACATATTTTGGGCATTTAGGAGTCATTTTTATAAGAATTAGGCGATTTTCTTAGTTTTTCGTGTGTGTTAGCTCATAAATATTTGGTGATATGACTTCTAAAACGATTTTTTTTCGAAACCTTTACAAAACCCTCCGTAGGGAGTTGGGGGGAGCAATACGTGAAACCAAAACATTTTTCGGACATATATTGGGCATTTAGGAGCAATTTTACAGAAATTAGGTGATTTTCTCAGTTCTTCGTGTGTGTTAGCCCATTAATATCCTAGGGAAATGGCTTCCGGACGGCTTTTTTGCCAAACCTTTACGGAAACCTCCGTAGGAAGTTGGGAGAGCAATACGTAGTCTCACCATGATCCACGATATGTTATTGACATTTGGGAGCCAACTTAAAGAAATTGTGCAATTTTTTCGGTTTTTCGTCTATGGCATAAGGCTATCACTCAACATAGCAGAAAACAAGCCCAAACAATCCAAATACTTGTCGTTCATTATAAATCAGGCTATCATCGAGTTCCAATTTCTTGTTTCCATTTGATTGAACAAGTCAAGCGCCATCCTATTGCAACACCAACTTCACCACACTTGAAATACTCAAATGGCTAGCCAACCCATGAATCATATTGCTTGATTAATATGTTAAGAGCATTTTTAGTGCAACATAGTATGTTTACTTTGTTATGAATGGGATTATACCTTAAAGTTGGTGTTAGATTTAAATCTACAACACTTAAAATCAATCAGAAGCTCAGATTGAAACTAATATATATATAGATATATCAAGGCACCTCTATATAGCTTTCTATTCCTTCTGTGTTCTGCATAATCAGTAGCCCAGATTGGTTAAGGCACCTCTATGGCTCAAGTTACTCAACATATAATTTACATTGCATTCCTTCCTACCTAACCTAATATTTTTAATGTAAATTACAATGCATTTTGTGGCTGTTTGATATTCTCACAATTCTTTACCAAATCAGTATATCCATCAGCTGAAGCTATGGCAAACTCTGTCAGTGAGGTCAGAGCAACTGACATTCCTGCACATAGCACTCTAATGGCAACCTCAGCCATCTTTTCTGCTGTCATTATGTCCTCATCAAGCTGTCCAACTTCCACGATATCCATGTTCCCATCAGATTCTCCGCCGAGACTCTTTGACCCACCAGGAGTCCGGCGGGAATCTTCCTTTAGTTGTTGTGCATAGAGTGAGCCTACTCCTGCTGCAAAAAAATCTAGTCCTTCAAGCACTGGTGTCTCCTGGATGGAGTCTAATAACCTGGACCACTGGATGCAAATGCTGAATATTGGTGGAGCTCCCGTGGAACGACGAGGAGAGAAGGGAAATTTTGATGTGTCAGAATCTGAACGAGCACAGCGCAAAAGCCAGCTTGCTAAAGCATGCAAGTATGATCGTTGAGAAACGATCCATGACTCGAAACAGGCTCTCCAATTTCTGAGCTCCATCTCAAGGTTAGCAGCAGAACGGGCTAGCCTATGAGGCTCAGAAGGTGACATGACTGTGTACTTCCTTATACCGGACTTCTTTGAAGGTGTGCCAGCTAGTAAGAGCTTGGCTTCATCTAGAGTATGCTTTTGCATTTGGTGGCACTCTGTCATAACCTTCCACATTCTTCCTAACCTGTCATCAAAGGAGCTATGTTGTAAGTTTTTAGTACATAGCAGCAAATAACATTTAATAGCAGAAGAAACCTAACTTCGATCATTGAATTTTAATTAGCAACTGTATTGATGTCAAAGTTTAGCTCCAATAATTGACTAACCAAACCAAATTGAGAAAGTTGGGGGACATCAAAAGAACAGAGTCTCTGAAGCTCTAAATAACTAAATGTGCAAAAACCAAGACCTTAGGGATCCTTCTGGAAAATTTGATATGAAAGAAATAAACATAGTTGATATGCTGTAAATAATTCTAGTAGACAGCTAGGGGTGGATTAAATGGATAAAATTTACCGTTATTCGCTCAATTCAGATGTCCGTTCATTTGAGAAGTTGGTCAAATATGTATCAACCCATATTATTTACATCATAAAATAAGGAAACCCATGGGTATCCACCAATTGCACTCCTTTAAAGTATGAAAGGGTGTAGTAACCTCAAAAAAATATACTTATTAAGGGTGTGTTTGGTATGAAGGAGAACATTTTATGAAAAAAAAATTCAATTTTCTCATATACTTGGTTGACTGAAATGTTTTGAAAAATATTTTTAAAATGGAATTACTTTCCTCTAAATTTAAGAAAAATGACTTTTGTATATAAAGTAAAACATTTCTTTAAAAACTATTTCAACCTCACCACCCAAAAATGGGTACGCAGCACCCGACTACGACCTCCATACAGGACATGTATCTCGAACCTAATTTTGGACCCGACTCCCAAGCTCGACCTGAGACCCAACACCAGCCGCACCTTGGCGTGGGACCCGAATCCCGACCCCAAGTTGAGACTTGATCCAGGACCTAGCTCCTGAATCTCGATCACGACCTGAGACCTAACCTGGGACTCGACTCCTGACCATAGACCCGAATCCCAGCCCAGAGTCGAGACCTAACACCCGATTGAACCCTTTCTTGGGACCCGAATCCCGACCCGGAGGTTAGACCCGATCCTGGACCTAGCTCCCAAATCTCAACCACGACTTGAGACCCGACCCACGACCTAACTCCCTGACCTGGGACCCGACTCCTGACCATAGACCTGAATCCCAACCTAGAGTCGAGATCCGACTCTTAACCCATGACCTAACTCCTTGACCATAGACCTGAACCCCAACCTAAAGTCGAGACCTAGCACCAGATTAGACCCTGACCTGAGACCCGAATCCCGACCCCAAGTTGAGTGGGAATCCAAGACCTAGCTCCCGATTTTCAACCACGACTTAAGACCCGACCCGAGACTAATTCCCTGACTTGGGACCCGAATCCCAACCCAAAATCGAGACCCAACTCTTGTCCTAAGACCTAACTCTTTGACTCCTGACCCTAAACCCGAAGCTCAACCTCGAGTCAAGACCCAGGACCTAACTCCCCAACTCCTAACCCTAGACCCGAACCTTAACCCTGAGTCGAGATCCGAATCCCGACCCCAAGTTGAGTGGGAATCCAAGACCTAGCTCCCGAATTTCAACCACGACTTAAGACCCGACCCAAGACCTAATTCCCTGACCTGGGACCCAAATCCCAACCCAAAGTCGGGACCCAACTCTTGTCCTAGGACCTAACTCTTTGACTCCTGACCCTAAACCCGAAGCTCAACCTCGAGTCAAGACCCATGACCTAACTCCCCAACTCCTAACCCTAGACCCGAACCTTAACCTTGAGTCAACACTCAACTCTCGACCCGGGACGTAATTCTCCGACTCCTGACCCTAGACCTAAATCCCGACTTTTGATCCTAGACCCGAGGGCCGAATCCCAACCCAAAGTCGAGACCCAACTCTTGTCCTAGGACCTAACTCTTTGACTCCTGACCCTAAACCCGAAGCTCAACCTCGAGTCAAGACCCAGGACCTAACTCCCTAACTCCTAACCCTAAACCCAAACCTTAACCTTGAGTCGAGACTCAACTCTCGACCCGAGACGTAATTCTCCGATTTCTGACCCTAGACCCAAATCCCAACTCGGGACCTAAATCCCGACTCTTGATCTTAGACTCGAGGGTCGAATCCCAACCACGAGTCAACCTTACTCTTGACTCAGGACCTAACTCCTCAACTTTTGACCCTATACTCGAATCCCAACCACGAGTCAACCTTATTCTTGACTCAAGACCTAACTCCTCAACTTTTGACCCTATACTCGAATCCCAACCCTGAGTTAAGACCCGAGAACCCTTTGAGATTCTCAACTCGAATCCAACCCTCAATTTGAGACTTGACTCTCAACCTAGGACCTAACTCTTAACCCTAGACCAAAATCCCAACCTCACACCGAGACTCGACTCTCAAGCTGGAGCCTCACTACCTGACTCCTGAACCTAGACCTAAATCCCAATACCGAGTTGAGACCTAACTCTCATCCAGGACCTAACTCCCCGACTCTTGACCATATACCCAAATCCCAACCTCAAGTCGAGATCTAACTCTCAACTTGGGACCTAACTACCCGACTCTTGATCAAGACCTGAATCCCAACCCCAAGTCGAGACCCAACTCTCAACTCAGGACCTAACTCCTCTCCCCGACTCCAGGACCTAACTCTTTGACTCCTGACCCTATACCCGAATCTCAGCCTAAAACCTAACTCATCGTCTCTTAACCGTGACTTACGACCCAACTCTCGACCCCGACCTGGGACCCGACATCCAACCTCGAACTGGGATAATTATCCCAACCTTGACATGAGACCCGAAATCCAACTCCCGACCTTATACCTTGACTCTACCCTAGACCTAATTCCTGGCACCTGACCCTAACCTGACTCCTCACGCCGACCCTGACAT